AACAACAACAACAACAACAACAACTATTGTAAAGTGCATTGAGACAACTGTGAAATGCGCTATATAAGAACCTCCCATTAACCCTCATTACAGTATTGTACAACAAGAATAATAACAATGTAAACTTTATTATGTTTTCCAAATTCAATCGTAAAATCTCGCTATATATAAGCAATTTACGATTACACATTAAGTACATGAAAAATACTAAAAACATTATTATCCTTTTTTAATAATAATAATAATAATAATAATAATAATAATAATAATAACCTAAATATTTGGTTTACTGGGTTTGAGTCCAATTGTAGCCACTAGCTGAGACTGTATTTATCCTGACTTCTGATTAGTTCAAATTCAGCTTGTTGACCAAGCTTGTAAATAGCTAACTAGTTTGCCTCTTTGCCAATTGGGATTCTTAAAAACACTTTGTTTCTTTGATTATTTCTTCAATATTGTTTATTAATTTGTGGACTACACTGTAATCAACTAGCAGCCAGCTAAGCTTACTTTTCATGTTAAATAAGGTTTTTTTTTATTTTTTATTTATTTTTTGTTAATACAATTGACCAGCCTAATCATCAGTAACATTGACTTTTTTTGGTAAATAATCTAATATGTTTACTGTGCAGACACACTAACCGGGACCACTTGAATAAAACTGACCAATCAGTTAACAGTAAACTAGACAGAGATTGAACTGATAACAGCCTTAGCCAATCAGATTATCACGTTCTCACGCTCTTATAATATCGATGCGCTATCTGATTGGCTGGTGAGTGGCAATATGATTGGTTAATGATACTAGTTTATCAAAGTGGTCCAGGTTGGAGTATCTGCACAGTAACAAACAGCTTTGCTAATGTTTTTTTATAAGAAACACTACGAGCACACATTCATGCCAGATGTCTAGTAATTTAATGCACAGCAAATTGTAGAACACTGATCTACGTGTAAGAGTACTGCATGTTTGCACAGCACTGGATGAAAGTATAACTGTTCAAAAAGTTGTACATTTAGAAGATCCGTTTACACAGGTTCTGCTATCTGGACAAAAATTCAAATGTCTGAGCTGTGCAATTTGGGACAGTCAAAATAAACTGAGGTTAAATTTTTGACTCCATAGATAATTACGAAATGTACTGGTACTGCATTACTGTGYGGACACACTAACTAGGAGTCACCTGAATAAAACTGACTAATCGTATAACAGTAAACTGACAGAAATTGAACTAATAACAGTTTTGGCCAATCAAATTATCATGTTTGAGCAAACTCATTTTACATCAAAGTGCTATCTGTAAATATCACAATATGATAGGTTATTAATAATAGTAGTTTTAATCAAAGTGGTCCCGGTCGGAGTATTCACACAGTAACATTTTGTCAATCCACATAATTATCTCAGTGGATGGAGAAAAAAAACATATTAAATGAATTATAAAAATATCAAAATGTTTATATATTACCTGTTGTTCCATTTTGCGCTGGCGCAAACTGTTTGGACTGACTGGCCTTCCATCATCTTCAAATACACTGTCAGTAAACAAGGTCATGTTTAGTCATGAATATGGATACAACTCAAACAAATAATCTTATTCTCAATGGAATGACACGACGCCAAAGCCGAGGTCTATTCTCAGATTACTGACTAGACAAGAATAAAGTCAAATATAATATGCAAGAAAAACTAGATTATTTTTACAAGTGCTTGTCATTTATCATTTACATCTGATGAAGGAGCTAGGCTCTGAAAATGTTTATGTTTTGTGAACTTTGACTTTTCTTCGCATTTCCTCAATGGCTTACAAAAAAATTTTCTACTACAACATTTTACAAGTACTATAGAGATATAGCAAACATTCAAGATATCTAAATAAAGGTATTTACTATATATGTAATATAAAACACTAACAAGAAGTACTGTTCATATAATACAATGTTCTTAACATACAGAGGACTCAAAGAAACTTCTAGATGAATATAATGTAAGATATCCTGTTTTAAAAAGTTGCTGTGCACACTCCTAGACATGTTATGATTAAGAATCAACTCTACTAATGGATGGAAGAGACATGTGAAATGTACTTATTCTATAATTTACCTAAAACGTAACTTATATTTCACTTGATAATTATATTTCTAACGTCAAGAAAGAAGTTAACCAAATCTGTACTAAAATACATTTAATAATAAATAATAATAATCCCCATCATCATCGTCGTCACCATCATCATCAATATCATCATCATGACTTTATTTATAATGAGGCTGTAAACACTAACAAGGGCAGATCCAGCCAAAATTTTAGGGGGGGCTAATTGAGTTTCTTCCGTCAACACAATGGAAAACGATWAAAAAAAGGCATCTAATTATTCAGTTTTGTTTTGGGTTGGGGGGGGGACTTCAGTCCCCCTTTGCCCTCCCTGGATCCGCCCTTGACTAAAGTTACAATAAGTGATAAACTTGTTCAACTAATTAAAGTTGATACATCAATATATCGGATAATTGTGACATTGAGACCAAACCTTCAAAATCACCTTTTATGAAACATTACTGTGTTTTAAGTACCATATAATACACATATGAACTACATGTATTAACTTCTTATGAGTTTTTTCTTCTAAAATAATTAATATTTCAATAAACAATGAATGTTAGACTCATTTTTAAAACATGCTTCTTATCAGAAACTAAAAAATACACCTCAGTCATTTAAATTGCTAGGTCAACGTAAAGTGCCAGTCAAGTTTGGTTAAAGAAGTGACAGAATCGAGCAGGTGTTTAAATAGACTTTTTTTCTTCCAATAGTGAGTTGATTTCATGCCACTAAAACRGTACAAAGATCAGGAAATGTCAAAATTGATAAAAAAGATATATTCATGTCGCAAATTTTTGCTCAACCTTAATTACGTTTACAAAATTTATATATTTTTTCACTTTTTTCTCAAGTTTAGGGACAAGACAAAATACCCAACAGGGCACACCTTGAAGAAAGAGCTGAATTAAACTTATCATCTTCTAATTTTGAAATTCATGGCTTTAGAAAAACGAATAATTGCATATGTTCTTCTCAATAATAACATGGATTAGGATTCACTGAACTCAAAACGCTTTGAGCATTGATAATATATATATATATATATATATATTAATTGATAAATGAACCCGAATCTACAGTATATTTTAAACAAGAAAAAAAACAGAATTAAAGCTTATGATAATTTTTGGAACAAAATATTTGCATTTTTTTTCCCTCAACCCTATAAAATTTCAAGAAAACTTGAATGACACTTTTAACTCTGAAATATTAAGTTACCTACCCGCAAACGATCTTAAAATCGTAATGGCTAAAGTAGTAATGGTGGTTTTTTTGGTTTTATATAATCTTAAGAGGCAATAAACCTTTCAAGAGTTAAAATATTTAGATATTTAGAAAATAAACCCACAAAAACGTTCATAAACAGCACAAAATTATAAAGAGCTGTGTTTCATGAGAGATTGAATGAAATCTTACGTAAACATTACTTTGATGTTAGAGTAAAGGCAGCTTTTTCCTAGCTCACTGCTCTATTAAATCTCCGCTTGAATGCTAAGGGCAAAGGATTTCGTAAAATAAGTTGTTTTCACTACTAAATAAGTGGAAATTTGAAAGAAAATTTTGCAAATAAACTCCGATTTTTGGAGGGATTTTATAGACAGTTTAGTAAAATTATGGCTCTTTTGTCATCAATAGATTGAAACTCTTCGACTTCTAGCTCATTCTTTGATAATTATTAAGAACTAATATTTCGATATGAAAAACAATTCTTAATCTTCTTCAGTATTGTTCTTTTTTATAGTCCATGTTAGGGATAAATTTTGTTCATAAGGAATTGGCTTCGCTTCGACATTTGCAGCATTGCCTTAAAAAAACGACTCGTCAGCTAATATTTCTTAGTTAACAGATTAATTACGCGTTCAAAAACCAAGATAAAAGAGAAAGATATATTTTACCTTCCTGGTGGTCCAGTCGTTGTCCAAGAACTAGTGAATAAGCAGGTGAAAGTTAATTTTCGAAAGGAGAAATTTAAAGGAAATTCGGTTACTAACGTATACATCTTGATGGTCAAGCCATCGAAACACACCACAAACCCCACTAAACAAACACTAAAAAACATCAAACTAACCTGTCTCCAAAGCCATAAGACATGATTGTCAAAAGGGAAGGTAGTTGAGAGTTAAAATTCAAGCAAAAGGAAAAGAAATTCTCGATATAAAATAAATTAAGGCTGGAATTTTTGAAACTGCGTCCAAAAAAGCGACTTCGAAGATCAAGGGAGCGATCTGATTGGTCAATCCCTATCATGTGACAGGAATGAGCTCAATCAGAGGAAGTAAAGTAGACTGGGGCAGAGCGCCTGGTTTAAATAAAATCACTATTTTGGACAACAAAATATTTAAGATATCATTCTCATGAGAAACTTCCGATTTAGACCTTTCTGACAATACATAGTATGTTTTATTTATAATATTCTATACAAAACATTGTCAAAATCTATTCTGTTTATTCCGTTGCCATGGTAGCGAGGCATCAGCTGTACTACTAATTATAGATTTTGAGTTTTGCAGGATTTTTGTTTTGTGTTGGAACTCTTAATTAATCCCTTTAGAAAACAGCTACTACTTTACATCAACAGGAACGAATTCAGTTCAATAATAATCGATAATTTTTATGCTCTTAAAAAAAATCGCCCTTCCTAAGTGGAATATTAAGCCAAATTTCACGCCGTCGTTGGCTTCCGCATTTGAATGTCGTTTTTGTTGAACTTTAAAATTATTTGGTCTTCAGTCTTATATATCTTCCTTAACCTGTTAAAAGACTTTTTTCATAGGTATTAAGACGTAGCTAAGGGAAAAATAAATAGAAACAGTTATAAGTAATAAATGAAATAAAATAAAATTTATGCTCTCTCTCTCTCTCTCTCTCTCTCTCTCTCTCTCTGACTATTTTCAATGACTCAGCTATATTTGCGTGCCTTGTGCCTCGTATATTTCTCATGTTAAAAGTTTTATAGATGACAACAAACGAACCCCTAATTTATAAAAAAAATGTAGTCGTAAACAAATATGCCACAAGTTCTTGACTATCAGTAAAGGTACACTTTCGAGTTCAGTCAGTCAGTCGAGAGAGAAAACCACCTGAACGATAAAAACAAATCAATCAAATCAACATAAATCAACACTGCTACACATCTGCGCCAGAATGTATGAGACGCCACTAATGGATCAAATAATTCAGTAATGACTTATTATATTACAAAGGTAAAGGAAATGGAAGATCGAAAAGATAGAAATTGCGCTGCTTTTATTGGAACCGCTTGATAAATTAATAGTTTATCTGTTTCCAAGGAAACGATATAATAAAACAGACGTAGTTGTTTTTCTTGGTTCAACACTAGATTAGACACATATAATGCATACTGTCGCCAAAACAGACAACGATAAAAAATGACCACTATCGATAACAGTCAGTCCAAATAGTATTGTATTCTCTTCTTCATTTTGAGTTCTATCTGTTAGACGTCTATCTGCCACGAGGTGGATTTTTTGTCAAGAACAGATTATAAATATGACACCGTCTTCCTCTTAATTCCTCCCACTTTCAACGATCGAATGAATGTGCGGATGAACTAACATGAAGCCATTTAAAGGTCACGTAGCTATAGATGAGGGTGCCAATGGGGGGGTACCCAATTGTCAGCTAACCACTAATTTTTTGGCCGAATATCAGTTAACTTAAAAGTTATAATTGTAATTGTAAAAGTTGAAATTTTACGAGCTTTTGATGATGAAGTTAAGCGATGAAATATTACTGAGTAACATTACACGACGTTTGGACGTCAACTGAACGTCATTATCAAGTGATAAAAAACTAAAAAACGTTGAATTATGTACATAGATAATAATGAGTATAAAAAGGTGTGAAAACAAAGAATGTAATTTAAATATTGTAAAATGAAATGACGAACAAAGAAAAAAAATAATACACTAATAAAATACTTTAGCCCGAATAGAGTCACTTTGAATATTTAAACTGGGTTTCAGTTTGTTAATAAACAACATTTCATTAATTAAGCAGTCCCATTTTGACGAGCATTTCTTTAAAATGTTAAATGTTCTTAGTGACTTATTAAAGAAAAATCATTACGAGCGCTAGTCATATTGTATTAACCAAAATATATCATATCAATTATATTAACCGAAATATATGAAATAATAAGAACTGCGTCAAAAAATTACTGAAGTCCTCGGGAAGAAAGATCAACATTTTGACCACATATGGGTTGACCGCACACGCAACGTTGGACTAAGACTCCGCACACAGTTTGGCATTTGATTTCCCACGTTTTTTGCAGTGAAAAGTGAATATTTCTTCACCATACTAAAGCAATGGAAATAGGATGGATTATCAGTGAACCTGTTTTTTTGTTGTTGTTGTTGTTGTTTCTTTCTTTCTTTCTTTATCATCAGTAAGTCAAAATCTTCAAAATTGACAAATTTTTAGCAAATTCTCATGTAATGTCAGAACAATACCGTTAAGACATGAAACAACAAGATGTTTTATTTTGTTACTTTTTGCCGGTTATTTTTTTACTATAAAAAAGTAACGGTATTTCTAGTTCTTTTCCGACGATTTGTTCGCCTTTGTTTTCCATTAGAAAAGATATAGTTTGCTAACAGAACCAAGTATTGACAAATGCGGGTCGACTGGCGGAATATAGCGATAGCAGAGCCCGCCAAATAGATAAGAGCGGACCGTTGCTAATTTGAAATCCTGCTGTAATTTTCCGGCAACTTAATCAACCTGATTGATAGTTCGTTTGCAAATGATAGTAAAAACACTTTACAGAGTTATCAATAGAGCAGGAGCATGTTACGTCATGGCCGCGCCATCTTGCTTGACGATAGCAAAGCATTCCCTATAAGCTTCTTGTTAGATCAACCAAGATGGCGACTGTTTCATTGTTATTCATATCTCTAGGGATTTTGAGTCACATGGTTTTGCACGCTTCCTCCTTGCTTAGCAGCCTCCTACGTGCACCCAAAACTCGATGGAAGCACGCTAATGAATAGTCTCCCCCACAGCCGCTTCCAGTGTCAGGGGAGAAAAAGCGTTGCGTGACGACACTGGAAGCGGCTGTGGGGGAGACTAGCTAACCAAAGACCCAAAGACCAATCCTTTTTTTTTTTTTTATAGAAAAAACACATGACGGTTTTCACCAAGGTCATAGAAATAGACATAGACACATTTTATTTGGCGTTTTGCACATAGTTGTACATCAATTTAGTTCCAAATAGGTTAAGGGTATGTACGTATGTGTATAATATTGACATTCACACATTCTACAAATACACATCATACAAATAAATGTCCATTGTATTGCGTTACTAATCCTATTATTATACAGTATACATTATAATATTTACATCAATAAGTTATAAATCTAGTTTAGCATATACCAACTTGTGTACTTCCTAAGAACGCGCGCGCTCATTGGTTAATTGGAGGTGAATATTGTACGATATTCACCTCTGAATCTCGGAATATTGAGTCGGCAACAAAATGGCATCTCCCGGCAATCGTTTTGCTTCAATTTCCGATGAGGAAATTGAAAAAATGAAAATAAATGCCATTCCTATCAATACTAAAAAGGCAACGAAGTATATGGCTTAAAAGTTTGGCGCAAACTAAAAGTTTCTGTTTGTTTGTTCTTATTGAATTATTGTATATAAAAATAAGTTACCCTGTACACAAGTTGGTATATGCTAAAACAATTATTCGCCTCAGGCTCAGTGAATATGGAGAATATTTACGTCGCCGCCCGAAGACTCACGTCTCGGTAAATATTCCCCGATATTCACATCGCCTTCGGCGAATAATTGCTAATTATTCATCTTTATTTTATAAAAGCGTTGATTTTTGTTTGTTTTTTTGTTGTTGTTGTTGTTTTTTTCACTACGCAGAGCAAAACAATTGTAAACGTATTTTGCTGCAGCTGGTTGTAAAATATGGGGAGGATCTATCAACTTCAGGAACAATTGGTCTTCCGTAAGGGAGCTATTTATTTTGCATTACAAATTCTTCTCTAAGTTTGGAATATAGAGGACATTTAATCAGGAAGTGCCTTTCATCTTCTATTATATCAGTACAATGAAAGTACTTCCTTTCCTCTACCTTCTTGTAACTAGAGTATCTGCCTCTTTCAATTTCTAAGTCGTGGTTACTTATTCTTAGAGGGTTAAGCAGCGTGGCTTATATGTCTACAAATGCATGAGTAACTGTTTAAAACGCGGGCGACTGAAAATTAATTTATTAAGTAGTAATGTAAGAATCGAAGAAAAAAAGCTTTAATAAATAAGTAAAGCAGATAAATTAGATGACACTGAATGAAAGAATATGCATAAGATTAAGATGCTTTATTCACAAGGAGTGAGTGAAGTGATGCTTTACGGTGTTGTAGCTTGCCATAGCTAAACATGCAAATATTTTCTTTAAGTAATTCTAATTGCACTGATCACCAGTGCATGCATTATTTTGAAAATTGCTAGGCAAAGCCTTGAGAATGATCCGTATTCAGGTAAGGATCAGGGGTGATGAAGGGAGTGGCTAGCTGACCCCCTTGTGCTTAAATTTCTCAGTATTATCCTCGATAAGCTACCCCCCTTTTTCCGCATTCCTTGTAAAACGTTTGTATTAGTCATCCTCCCCACCCCACCCCCGTGCTAAAATTCTTGGACCCGCCCCTGGTATTAGAACTTCTCAAACCTTTTATCAGAAGCAACCTTTTAAGGATTCATTTGAAAATTGTTTTAAACAGGGCCCAGTTGTTCAAAGCCCGATTAGTGCTAATCCTTGGTTAACCCTTAATAAGACCTATAGAGTTAATCCTGGATTAGCGCTAATCCAGCTTTGAACAACCCGGCCCAGATGTCCCGATCGGTTGTCAGTATTCCATTTTTTCTTCGATTACTCTTTGTTTAGAGACAAGGGACGGGGGGGGGGGGGGGGGGGGGAAAGGGAGAAAGGGAGAAAAGGGGGGGGGGAGAGAATTTTAAAAGTTACAGTTGATTACAATTTATTTATCTAAATTGGCTCATACAAAAATATAGAAGATATCAAAGGTTCGGCTTGGGTTTCATATAAACCCCTTGCAAGTGAACTTCTCAATGGCAGTATCATATAAGCCTCTTCCAAGTGACGTCAAAGGAGCTCGATTTAGAGGACAAAACAAAAGAATTTCATTCTCCTAAGAATTGGAAAACTATTGTTTTGCTTGCCCTCCAAACTGAGCTGTATTCCGCCACTTGCTCCAAGGGTACTATTTCAATAGTTCGTTCATCATAACTTGTGGCTGTGGCTCTTTGAGCGCTCCCCGACTAATATTCTGCTCAGCGTCCATAGAGTTTCCTTATCTTTGGATTTGTTTATTTGCAATTGTGAACTAAATGAAAAGTTGCAGCTTCGTCACTGAAATATTCGACCATTGTTTATGTAGTAGTGCTAAGCGACGTGCTGATCAAGTGTCTGATGAGAAAAGAAGTTTGCCATCAACTGTGACGTCACTGTACGCCTCATCACATGACTCTACTTCCGCTCCATCGTAGCCTTGTCCCTGCAGTCTCAAGGACGTTATTAATGGGGCCTCTGGTATAGGGACCACGACGGCGTTCCCCACTTCAAAAACGTGCCTTGGAATTGGTGCCCAGTCCATAGTGAAGGATGCCAATCGCCTCCTGTTGGCCAGATCCCATGAGTAGAAATTGTTAGCCTGAAAAGTATAGGCTACATTCTCATCTGCATTTATCAGGATCTTGTGGGTTGGCTCGGTATCAAATTGGGACAAGATACAGCCTGTCTCAATGCTCCATAGTTGCAATACACCATCAGCCTCCCCTCTACAGGTAATGGCAATATTCCTTCGTGAAGATACTCCAGTAGCGTGGACAGAGTCTATAGGCAAGACAAATAAAAGCTTCCCAGATGGAACGTCCCACAATGTGGGCACTGTCTCAAGGGTAAGTGCGATAAGGAACCTCCCATCGTGAGATATAGACGCAGAATGTAATGTCAGTTGCTGTTTCTTCATCTTGAGAACATGATGTCTGTTATTTCGGCAGTCAAATGCAATCAGAGGCAAGGACTTGTGAGGTAATTTGTCATTCTTGACAAGACCGCAGATAACGTAGCTTCGATCTCTGTTCATTAAGGCTTCTGAAATGGGCTGTTTTTTGTCAAAGCGATGTTTGAAAGTGATGACTCCTTTGTTGATATCCCAAACTTGAAGACGTCTTTTCTCCCGTGAAAATGCCATAAAATGGACATCATCGGTGAAGCCCACTGACCACAACAGGTTGGCGTCCCCAGGCAAATATCTTTCAATCTTTCCTTCTTTCAAATCCAAGACTCCAAATCCGCAATTCTCACTCCCTTCACTGAAAAACTTGGCTACAGCTCTAGTTGGACTGCACATGCGCAACTCGTTTATTCCCTCCTCGTGTCTAAGGCAACGCACTCGTCTTGGCTTGTTATCCTTGACATCCCAAATTGTTAGTTCCTTTTGACCATTAGTGATTGTCTTGGTTGGAAGGTAACGGTTACCGTAACTAGGGTACACACTACTTATCGTTCCTGATAGTAACTTCCTTTCTGATACCTGTTCGATCTTGTCATTGTTTGCCAACTTATCAAGATGGTAGACACGGAGAACTTTGTCGTAGCCAACGGCAAAAACATTCACGCCATCGCTAGAAAAGAGCTGTGTGCAATCGATGTTTTCTTCAAAGAGCTCAGGTTTTGGGATTCTTTGTACTTGCCCTGTTTCAAGTGTTGAAATCAAGATATCCTTGTCTGTAAAGCTGACAGCTTTGGTGCCATCCATGGTGAGTTGTAAACGATTTATTCCAAAGTAGCACTCAAATTCCGAAACTTCTCGGATCAGCCCTTTAGATTTGAGATCAAAGATGTGTAGCTTCTTTCGTTTTGATGTGAGGACGATAACCTCTTCTCTTTCTGTGATTTTGATTTCTTTGATGGTGTCCTGTAGCTTGAAGATAGTTTCCTGATTCCCATCTTCAGCATTCAGGATGTTGAAGCCATCATCTTGTACGCTATACACGACCCATTTACCTTGTGCATCTAGAGCTTTCACTGTATCTACAGTGACTCCAGGTAAAGAGATAAAGTGCATCACCTTTCTGTCATCGGTGTTCCATACTTTTACTCCTTCATCACTAACTGCAGCAATTTGTTTCTCTCCGTTAAGGAAGGCAAATGGATAGGCAAAATTCTTCATGGATTCTTTTAGAACATGAAACGTTTTTACAATGTGTTTTGTTTTCGTGTCGAGTAAAATCATGTTTTGCGCGCCACCAACAAGAACAAGATCCTTATGAAGAGCGCTCGCCTTCAGTGTCCAACGAAACGCTCTTTCTTTCTCGGGTAAGTTCAGGCTGAATTGTCGAACAAGTTTTCCATTTGAATTTACCAAAACTTGCAGGCAAAGACCCTCTTTATTGGACGACCCCACGAAGACGTGCACACCATCACAGCTGAAACTACAGCATGCGTTTTGGTCATTCACAGTCAACGAAGAAATCAGCGCACCTCCAGGAGAAGTAAGGCACTTTTCACTGGTAACAAAATTTGGTAAACCTGTTACGCCGGATGACTGAGCCTGTTTAACCAGTTTGCCAACAAACGGGTGCTTGTCGTCATTTGTGAAGGGTCCAAGTCTCCCGATTATTTGTGAAGCAAGTTGGTTGCGATCATTTCTCAAGGCCATCGAAGACAAATGAAAGAACCTGTTTACGGCATGCAGGTCATCGTCGTTGTCAAATATCGAGGTTGCGTACGCAAAATCTTCCAGAAGTTCTTCCAAAGACGTTGCTCGCAGCTTAGCGGAAAGAAAATCAAAATTGCAGAAAGCTTCTTTTTTGAGGTCATTTAGTTGCCTAGCGTGGATCATGTGGAAGGGAAGCTCGCTTAGTTTACGCTTGTTGAAGACGGGTTGCTCGGGGTTTTCGTCGTACAACACTGGCTGGCTCGCTACCAGCCTATCCATTGGAACCTCGACACCACTGTCATTGATGTAAGGTTTCTTCTTTCCATCCGCCCACTTGCCAACATAGTATTCCACCATGCTTTTGTGTAGCTCCTCGACTTTCTCTGGATCTAGATATCTTTTCTTTGCAGTCTCGATAAACTGACGATGATACCAATACACCACAGGCACCCCATCAGCACCTCTTTTGATCAAGTAATCTTCTACGTCTGAATGCAAACGAAACCATAGCAACGGCAGCATACGCCTGATTGGTGGAGTCCAGAACTGGTAGATATCATTCAGGACGGTATCATCTAGAGACAAGAGGTCGTCTAACTCAAGCTCCGTTAGCCCAGACTTTGATGCGGTAATATAACCAAAAGCTTGGCTTACAAGAATCTTTCCATATTTTTTCTCTAGGCAATCAAACAAAGCGTTGATTATCGCTTCAACATCCGCCCCAATCTGTGTCTCGTTTTCTGGTGTATAGGACTTCCAGCGACTCGCCTCGTCAAATGTCAGCTTCAGATATAAGGGTAACTGACAACCTCTGAAGCCATCAAGTACGATCTTCTTCTGTTGTGGCTGGAGAACCCGCTTGACAGAATTGAGCCAACTGTCCAAGATTACTTCCGCTTCCTCGTAAGTCATCTTTGGCACTTCAAGGAAACAGTGTGGTGGAAGGTAGGACTAGAAGAAGAAGAAGCATAGTTTTTTAATTAAGAATGTTTGCTCTCAAATGAAAAGGCTAGACTATGAAAAGTTAAAGCCATACAAAATCGGAAAATTAATATTTTGTATCATGCATGATGTATGCAACAGACATTTTTACCTTGGGCATGTTTCCCCATTTCAGACCACATGTCATTCCCTAGAGTATTATTTCTTTGTTTAACGGTTGCGCATGAGAAGATACATGAATATAGATACAACTCAAACAAGAATCAAGAATCACTCATTCTTAAGGGACTGACACGTGGTCTGAAATAACATTACCCTAAGGTAACGAGGTCTATAAACCGTTTTTCTCAAGGTTGCGTACGCATCCAATCTTGACGGCCCACAAAACTGAAAAACGTAAATTCAGTAAAATTGAGAAGACTTTTTTATATTTAAAAAGAAGAATAAACGATTTTATGGATTCTTATCGAAAAATTTCATAAAAATGTATGATAACACTCATCAGTAATAAAGCTCCTGTTCTGGTATCGTGGCCCGTCAAGTTTCTTAAATTTGGACGTGCACGCAACCTTGAGAAAAAGATTTATTGGAAGCTGAAGGTCTATGAGAATAGGCTAATTACAGTGATAAGGAAAACCCGGATAATCTGTAGGAAAAAATAAATAAATGCCCACACCACCCCCCTGAGTAGGTGATCTCGGGGGAACGCGCGCAAAGGATTGTTGTAGTTGATCAGGCGGTCCTAGTTTCAGTTGTTTATCGGCGAACAAAGAGCTATCATTTCACGATAATTTCATAAAAGAATTGAAACCACAACGCACCATTTCACCCATAGGTATTCGTTATAAGAATAGGTAGAATTTTAAATGTATTGCTAGTCCATAACGTAGCTAGCGAAGCAAAGATTAAGAGCAATTTTTTCTGACTTCGGTCGCCATGTTTTTTTTCGATGGACCGCCTGATCAGATTTCTTCCTGTGCGATGATTGGCTGGTTTTTGATGGGCTGTCAAAACGAGATCACCTGGCATGAGAAGTATTTTTACATGCATTTTACCTTTAAGTAGGACAGACAATGAAACTCTCTTCCAGGGAGAGTCGAGAGTACAGCGTAGACATTTTTAGGGAGAACCTTTGGCCACCAATTTAACTCCTGAGACCACCCCTGACCGGTGATTTGATCCAAGGAATCAAGGAGAAGAATGATGGGATGATATGATGCTGCAGCTGCCAGACATTTTGGGAAGTATTCCGTCAACGACTTCATATCCTGTTCACGGTTAAAAGAAAATAAATTGGTCAGAAAAAAAGTCTGCTTGGTATCATTTACCACTGTTTTATTGCTACGCTCTGACTATTGGGCTCTGAGAAGACTCCTCTTAATCATAGAACTATTTTCGCATGAAGCTCGGTCCCGTAAGCGTGCCGTGCCGTGACCGTGATGTTTTCTAGAATTTTAATTGGCTGATCGTTTTCTCGCGCAATGTGATTGGTCTGACAGTGCCGTGACCTTGGCGTGACCGTGTCCGCGCCGTTTTTATGCCGTGTTTTGGGTATTCGATTGGATGGAGAGTAAATTTTCGAACAATGTGATTGGTCTGGCGTATCCCTTGCCGTATCACGGCCGTGTTATGCATTCCGTTAGCTTTTTATGCCTATTAACCTAACGCTAGATTTTGTCACGATCAGCGCGTAGCAATAAAAACAGTTGTAAGAATTAAAGAAGCCAGAGATTGAATTTTTTCTTGAAGGTTTGAAGGTGATAGGAGTATCTTATGCTAGTTATAGTGTTGAATTTGGAGGTTTGAAGGTTGAGGTTTGAAGTTTTTAGGAGTATCTTAGGCTAATTACAGTGTTGAGTTTGTTGTAGGAAAGAAGCAAGGGATCGAAAAAATTGAAGATTTGAAGATGGTAGGATTGGAGTATCTTACTTCTGGTATTTTTCTAGATGGCTGTGATGATACTCGACAAAGTTGCTCACAAATGCTGTGCAATAACGGGCGAGGGCTGGAGCTATCAGGTGATGTACCAAGGAATCGATACACTACCACACAAATCTCGATACTTGAAAACGAATCTTCAGGATGCTGGAACTAATTGACAAAAATATCYAATGTTATATCTATTTAAAATCATGAATCAAGTGAGGTTAAGTTTAGTCCTAATAGAGCGTGAAGGCGGGCATTTTGCAGTGAAGTCACTAAACCTGTGAAATAGATATTAGACTAATACACTTTAGTAGACCTTAATTCCATTGTTTTCTTTTGTGTCTATTTGACTATTACACGTTGACTAAGTGTTTCCATGACATTGTCGGAAAAACAGAGTTTTCGAGGGCACGTTGCAATACAGAATGTTCTGGAAACAAATAGCCCGGACGTGCGGCAAAACCTGTGCGTCTTTCTTGGTGTAGCAAGCTTTATCGTGTATTCTAGGTTAGGGTTTTCGTTTTGCAGAATATCGTCTAGCTCCAAATTCATTATCTTGGCTATTTTTTGATTGTGTTTATACCTCAGGTGCCTTGAAACACCAAGAAAGAGCCAAACCTTTACTTCGTCATAATGACGATTCCGTGGCGGGCATTGAAAACGGCTGGTAAACCCCACCCAATGGACTACTTCGACGATATGGTAGTCATCTTACAAGGGGGCAAAACAAAGCGAACGTGAAGGAAAATATACTAAAGTTTCATGTATTTGTCTTAGTTTTATAGGTAAAGGTGATCGAAGTCCCGCCCTTAGTTATATTTTGTTTTAAGCATTAAGCTTTATTTTTGCTCCTCTGGACGCCTCATAATGCCTTGCAATCCAAGATGGCCGTCGAATCGTCGAAGTAGTCAATTAGAGCTTTATACTAAAAATAAATATCCTAGGAGCTTTTACGACAATAAAATATTAATAAATTATAAATATATTATCTATTCTCTAAATATAGTTACCTTGTCAGTGATCCATTTTCTCATTTCAGATGCAATTTTAGCCATGATTGAGGTCTTCCCACAACCAGATTCTCCATGGATAACAACAGTTCGTTTAGCACCATCGTTTAGTAACTTATTTTTAACCGTACTCAAAAACTCTTTCCTTCCATGGAACGACTGACACTTCCTCTTACAGAACAATCCTTGGTGATAAAGTTCTTTAGTAAGTAAATCTTTCGGCTGAATTGACTTCTTTTTCTCGATGCCGTCACTGATGGTCTTGGTCAAGACCTCATAGAAGTTATCACACAGTTTGTCTATGTATTTTTCATGTTCTTCGCTGGATTTAGGATCTATTCCTTCTTCACTCCAATGTATTTCATATTGAATAACGTTATCTTTAGGTAAGAGAGAAGACATTTCTTGTGCTTTGAGGCTGTCTAGGAGATCTTGTGCTGTTTCGTCGACAGCAGCTTCTGGGCGAGCTACATCGATGAAGAAAGGTGCTTTGGGCTTGTCGACGTTTTCTCTGAGGTCTTTTATGACGCGCTTGAACCAGAAGCACTGTTTTTCTGGACAACTCGACTCCATTACTCCTCGACGGATCTCGTGTTCGGTAACTAATATGTATTAAATGGTCATAAAATATCATCATTATCATCACCATCATTATCATTATCACCATCATTTAAGGTAATTCCCTTGTTTTGCACTGCGCATTTTTCTGCGCACGCAACTAAAAGCATGGAACTAATTAACAAAGTTTAGGCATTAGAATATCTACAAAGCTTTTCGCTGTTGTATCACAGCGTGGGACGATCACAACAGAGTTAGGCTCCAAACTAGGTGAAAGCCCAAAGATCGAATTAGAATTTAGAAGTTGATTTTTGAGGAGGAAGGAAAACCGGATAACCCGGGAAACCCTTGAAGTACGGGAGAGAACCAACAAACAACTCTACTCACATACGACATTGAGATCGACAGACTCGAACTCGGGCCGCATTGGTTAGAGGCGGCGCATTAGCAGCGCACGCCGCACCGGACCGGCGCTTCCCATCGGTGCATTTTTCTTTCGGAAACTAAATAAGAAACATTTTTCGCTTTTTTCTCTTTTTTTGAGTATAGAAATTACGATTTTTATCTGACTCGCTTCAGTCTCCACTTGGGAAAGTATCAGTTTTCGACTATTTTGAGATGTTTTTTCAAGTGTGTCAACAACTTGCGCGCGTGCACTGTTTAACAATTATTCGCCCAAGGCAAAGTGATTATCGGGGAATATTTACCGAGACGCGAGGTAAATATTCCCCAATAATCACTGAGCCTGAGGCAAATAATTGTTTTAGTATAAATACACAGGTGATTCTTTCGAAAAAAGAAAACAAAATGGCATTTTTTCCCGGTAACAGCAACAAAGCGGCTGGCCGCCATTTTGGATTTTCGCTCGAGGTGATTATCGTGTGATAGTGTGGGTTTCTTGACCAATCAGCGCGCGAGATTTTCTATAATCACCTGCGTATTTTTAGTAATTCTGTTGATTGTTTTGATCGCTAAAAACGAATCGGAAAGAGCGGGAGAAGGGTAAGGCAAAATTTAAACTGCATCCGATTATTAATGAATAGCCATACCGGGAATTTACATCGCGCGCGTTATTGAGGAGTTTTCCTCTCTTATTTATGCTCTCTTGATGATATATAAAAATAGTTAGCTTAATAAGAAATTAGCTTTTTTACCTGACATATGGTATTTCCTTGCGACGTCTGGAGCAAGCACCTTGTCAGCGGCCTTACTCAAAATACTATGCAGCCTCCCGTAAATCTCCATCCACTTGGCAGCGGCTTCATCGTGCAACTGCGCATGCTCGTGATCTCTGAAATGAACCAGGCGCGAGCTGATTGGTTGAAGCACGTAATCAGAGGGAACGCTGTTATCATCTTCTTGATACCAGTCCTTTACCAGCTCCACGTTTTCGGGGACTTCGATTGCATGAATGAGCTGCTCGAGCTCTACTGCTTCTATCTTTGGAGGTAGAGGTCGATACCCATATTTTTGGCCGAGGAAAGTCTGGAAAGGCGTAAAATTTTAATATTCACTCGTAGTTTACCTCATAATTTCAGACAACTGAAATTGGATCGAGGGAGGGAGGGAGGGAGGGAGGTAGGGAGGGAGGTAGGGAGGTAGGGAGGTAGGGAGGTGGCTAGGTAG